TATAGAAAGCAAAGGCAAATTAATCAGGTGTCATCACAAATGTTTGTACCATGAAAAGAGGTATAGCTTAAGTATTCATGACCTTTCAAGATCCATATTCAAGTCCCTATATCTTATTATTTTCACAGAATCAATTTAACCAGTGGTAATCAAATCCAAGTGTCTTCCCTGTCTTCTGCAGGTACAGTTAGGGAATAGATTGAGTTGGTTTGCTGTTGCTGAAACAGTGGGACATGAAAGTGTGTGCAAACTAATATAATGCCTTGAACTCCATGGTATCATCAAGGTAAATTTAGGTCTTACATTTACCTCAATGATGTTGTGATGTTTGAGACGCTTTAGGAGTAAGTATATTTAGGCTTCCTGGAGAGACAGTCAAGAATGAAGCAGTATGAAATCCCAGCCATGTCAACTGTTTGTGGCATACAGAGGGCACCTTGGATTATGCCATCCAAGATAGTTGACTGTTTTCATTCATTCACTAGCGACATCAGCAGCAAACTAATGTATATAGCATCAGTGGAAGACCAGAGAAGAAAAGCTTTCAGCAATGTTAAGAAGGGAGAAGAAGTGACATGATTTTCTGATAAACAGAATATGGGGAGTAAAGTAAAAAGAGGCAGGGGTGTTTAAGGGCAGAAATCTGTACTTTGTGCCTGATTAAAGGGTGATTAGCAATGCAGTCAATAGATAAGGGGAATGAACAGAGGAGGAAAGTTGAAAGAATCGTGCTTGGTTCACATAAACGGGCTCCACATATAGAAAGGGGGTGGGGCATATTTTTGCCCTACCCCTCATGTTGCATGTGGATGTCTGCAAAGGTGAAGATAAGGAACCTGTGATCCTCTAGAGCAGCCTTTCTCAACCTGTGGTTCCCCATATGTTGTTGAACTACAACTCCCATCATACCTAGCTAGCAAGGTCAGAGCTCAGGGATGATGGGAGTTGTAGTCCAACAACATCTGGGGACCCACAGGTTGAGAACCACTGCTCTAGAGTGTCCTTGAACTACAAGTCCTGTAATTAAACTATGAAATAACTGTAAAAGGAAACTGTAAAAGGAAAATTGACAAATTCATCAAGGATAGAACTATGACTCCTAGTCATGATGGTTATATGACTTCCAAGATCAGAGGCAGTATGCATCTGAATCCCAGTTACTCTGAATTACAACTAGGAGGGCTGCTGTTGTGCTCATGTCCTGCTTGTGGGCATCCCATAAGCACCTGGTTGGCCACTGTGAGAACAGAATGCTGCATACCTGGGCCTTTGGTCTGATTCAGCAGGACTCTTCTAATGTTAGAGGGGGTCAGAAGACCACATTTGTAATGGATGGGGCCAGTAGCACAGTCCCACTGATCCCTCTATATGTGAAGCCATCTTAATGCAAATGATATAAAAAGGGGACTTTAGTCTTTGACATATAGTGTTGAAACTATATCCCCCCTCTCCTAGTAAGCAGTAGTGACTCAGCTGTAAGGAGGTCAGGTAAATTCTACAACCACACCATCCATTCTGGCTGAAACACACACCCCAATTTATTCATCCCTCAATTCATTCATGAGATAATTAGTGAAGTTACTTCTCTTGGTGAGAAATTATGATGGCTCCTTTATCTTTTGCACTGTATCATAGGAGAGATTACTTTCTCTATTCATTATTTTGTCTTTATAAGAGATGAAGAAGGAGGGACATCAGTTCACTGGTCCAGTATGTGTTTTCCATGCAGAGAGACTCATGTTCAAGTCCTGGTATCTCTAGGTAGGATGAAAAAAGACCTACTACCATGGAGAGCTGCTGTTAAACAACACTGGGGTACGGGAGTAAAATAGCCTGGCCAGCCATGAGATAGCTTTCCTTGTAACCACTTTAGGCAGAATCCCCTAGTTTATTATTGGAAGTGAGCCTTCACAGAATTATTATTATTTAATTTATTATAAGTATTTGTAGCCTGCCTTTCATCAATACAGAGCAGGGTACAGAACACAAAATAAAAGCCACCCAGCAAATCACAAAACAACAATAATGCAATACACTATCAGAAAAGGCAGTGAAAAGCAGCAGAGCAGATTAAATGCTAATCAAGTTGCCAAAGTTAAAATCCATGGGCAAATTAGTAAGTTATAACCTGGCACTGAAAACAATAACATTCCTGCCAGTTATATTAGCACCATGAATGCCTTCATTTTTGAACATGTACAGGGACAACCAAGTTACAGATTTTCTTTACAGCAGGATACTGTGGAGACACAGGGCTCGCCTGCACAGGTGCTCCACTGAAGTGCTGCAATGCTGATCTCAGACTTGTGCTATCTGTCTTCAGGGGTGGCAGCAGAAGGGACACAGTCTGTACATTGGCAAGAGTAATGGTGGTATAGGGTTCTCATTCACTACATGGTTCCTTTTTAATAGGTATAAATTCTTAAGCCTGTGCTTCTAGAGATAATAGATGGATGAGAAAAGCAACACAGAATATGAGAAATCCATAGTAATATACAATACAATGGGGAAAGTCATGATATTCACTTACTCGGGAGCAAACGGTTTAATCTCACTTCTGCACACATGGGAGAGAGAAAATGAAATGCAGTTTAAGGCAGTAACATAGCAATTAGGGAAAGTAAATGCCTACAGGCAATGAATCTTATTGGTTGAACAGCCAGGGTACTTTTAATGCACAACAGTACTAGTTAGTTAAGTGGATGCCACTATTTCCTAGCAAGAACTAGTCTACAAATTATCATAGCCCTGTGTCAAGCTGTTTCTTCATGGTGACTCTCAGCCAACTATAAATTCTATCAATTCTCTTGATGACATAAGGAGTGTCCTCTGTTCCTGACAACAAGGCATCCACTGATGGGATGAAAACTCTCCCCATGACCTGGAGAATCTGCATGACACACCATCCTAGACACTACAGCCAGGTGGGATGTCTGAAGGAGAGAAAGTGTGCATACACAAGGAATCTTAGGTAAAAGTGAGTTCTCTTAGAATCAATATGTGCCTTAAAAAGCACATACAGGTGAAACAGGAAGTGGGCAAGTGTGTCACTCTTTTAACTTCCTCCTTCTGCTCTATGTACTTTTCAAGAGAGAGAAATGTAACCATCACTTCTAGGGAGTAGGGTGAGCTCAGTGGCTTTGTGGATGCCAGAGAGAGACATCAAGACTGCCACTGCATCCACTAGCACCACGCTGGCAACCTTTAGTTCACATAAGTCCTGGTCAGAGCCCTATCCAAGCTATCACATTGCAGTACACCCAGTAGCATACTGTGTAAATGTAGCTCATCCATCACTGCTACATTTTCAGGTAATAGCATAGCCCTCAACAAAGTTTGTTTAAAGTATATTAATCTTCCACTGAAGTTACTTTTAATTATTATTGTGTTACTGTAAAGGATCACATTTTAATGTTATATTATTTGTGCTAGGGAAGGCAATTAGAAGCTTCTATAAAGGTGAAGGTAAAGATTCAAAGAATAATAAAATTGTGGCGATGAAACATGCATATATGGTACAAGGAAATTTGTGGCAGATGAGATAAGAATATCTCTAAGGTGTCATTTCTGCATCAATAAGGCTTTTTAAAAAATAAATATTTGCTTGGTCTAAGGAGTGGGTGTGCAAAATTAAAGCACAAAAGAAATGCCACTGGAATTTAAATTGCGGTGGTTACAAAAAATGGAGGAAAGAAAATCCAGCAGCCTCATTATTATGGCAATCAAGCTGTCATTTCCCTGCATCATATATCATCACCAGTAGAACTAATTTCAGACTCTCAATGTGTTTCCTACTCTCAGGAGATAGTTGTTGCTGGTGGTGATGAATGAAACAGAATGAAAAAACTCGGAGTGATTGAGCTTATGAACCTGCAGAGTTAAAAGTTGCAGAGAGAAAAATGGTTCTAGTTAGGATGCAGACTTGTTATGGAAGACACCAAACATCTCTGAAAGTGTTTGTGACAGTGACTTGTATGTGAGTCCATTTAAAGTGCAATGACATCATTAAATGTGCGTCACCCTCCTGGCTCCCAGAACCTAAAATCTATGATACCCCACTTCTTGGAAAGTATGAGCTGATTCATACATATATTTGCATGATTTGATATTTCATCACCCAGTTCTTAACGTGATGACTCAGTGTGTAGACTGGCAATTTGAAGTATTATGTCTGAGATTGTGTCAGACGGTATGAGAAGCTTGCCTAACAGTGCAATCCTATATGTGAGTAAGCCCTATCAATTTCAATGAGATGTACTCTTGAACAGATGCCGTATGACTGCAGCCAAAGTATGTCAGTGTTTTGCATGTGCGAGTCAACACTTGAGATGTCCGACCTGAACACACGTGAGGGAGGAAAGTGGGAGGGAACAAGGTTGACTCCAACATCCCTGGACTGTCTTAGGCACATTTGAGTGGAAGCATCTGAAGAGGGTTCCTAAGTTCATTCAGCTGAAAGCATTTACAAGCCTCATTGCAGGGATAATGCAGGTTTCCTGATCGTGGGAAAGCATATTCAACAGAACGTGGTTGGAAGACTCCTTTGGGCCATTGTATTAAACATATAAAAATTGGGAGTGGCAGGGGCAGGGTGCACGAGGATGCTAAGGATGAGGCAGGGTGCAGGGTGCAGGGTGCATGCTAAGGATGGGCTGGGTGAATGAGGATCCTTTGCCCATCTGAAAAGG